AGAGGAGCAGAGCCTCCAGCCGCGGGGGCTCTGCTCCTCTTCGGCTCTGTGTAACTTATACAGTGTAAGTTACGCAGAGCCGCCGGAGCCCCGGAGGAGAAGTTCCCGGCTGGGGGTGCAGGGTCCGGAGGCATAGGGGCTGCCCAAAGCCCGAGCACTACCGGCTTCACGGTTTGCTGGGCAGCCTCCAGACCCTGCGCCCCCGGCTGGGCGCTTCCCCTCCCGGGCTTCAGCTGCGCTGGGGAAGCGCCGGCTGGGGGCGCAGGGTCTGGGGGCTGCCCGGGAAACCGTGAAGCTGGTAGCACTGGGGCAGCCCTTTCCCCCTGGCTGGGAGTGGGAGGGAGGAGGGGGCGGAGTTAGGGTAGGGAAGGGGCGGAGTTGGGGCGGGGCTAGGGGTGGGGAAATGGGCGGGGCCAGGGCCCGTGGAGGGTCCTCTTTTTTTATTTATTAGATATGGTAACCCTACCATATGCAAACTACGCAGCTGTCTAGGGCACCAGGAAATTTGGGCCAACAAATTGCCCCAAATTTCCTGGTGCCCTACGCAGCTGCGTGCTGCATCCAGCTCCAGCGGCCAGCCCAATCCCCCGGACGGCTGAGCCAGCCCCTCGTGGGCTGTGCATAGCAGGGCCCAGGAAAGCTGCCCCCGCCCCTGCTCTGCCCCACCTCTTTCCACCCCTGCTCTGCTCCAGCCCCGCCCCCACTCCACCCCTTCCCTCCAAACCCCCACTCCCCTGAGCTATGCGTCCCGGGGGACTGTAGCAGGGGTCGGGCCTGCCCTGCCCTGCCCTGCCCTCACTGGGTGGTGGGAAGTGGAGTGACCCGGCCCCAGCCCGCTATGCCGGCTCCCAGCCGTGCCGCCGGTGAGTGCTGGGGAGCAGTTCCCCACCTCCCCCCAAGCCTGGGAGCCGGGGGAGTAGAGCGAAGCAGGCTGGGGCCAGGTCGCTCCACTTCCCGCTGCCCTGTGAGTGCGGGGGTGGGCCTGACCCCTGCTGCCTTCCTGCACTGGCTACTCCTGCCTCCCAAAGCACCTGGGCGCAGCCCCCCCTCAGAGGCCCGGGGCCACCCCCACAGGGGGGCTGCATAGGGCACCACAATCTCTAGGCCTGGCCTGAGAGAGGCTTCCACCCACAGCAGCCTAGATGGCTTCTGGCCCCCAACTCCTGCAGCTCTTTATAGACAACACCTGTCCCCTTCTCAGCTGCATTCACTAGTGAAGTGTGCTGTCTGGCCCTATGTCTCTGGCCCTTAAAAGCCCCCTGTTACAAGACCCCTGTTTGTAATAAGAAATAAACTGAGGGGTCCAACTAGCCCTAGATTTTGGCAGTGCTCAGACTGGGGGAGAAAGTGATTTGACTCCCCCCTCCCCCCCACACACCAAAAAAGTGATGGCAACCACCCAGCAGATCATCTTTTTGTTCTGTGTTTGTACAGCACCTAACACAATGGGGTCCTAGTCCGTGACTGGGGCTTACAGGCACTGCTGCAATACAAAGAATGAATTCAACTTTCCTGTCCTTCCAGTTTAGCAATAGTGGGAAGAAAGATTTTGGCCCCTCCTTTCAAGCACTAGATTTTATTCCTCATTGTACAGCTCAGTCCCTGGTGGTTCATTTTGCCCATTTTTTATATGGTCTATGTACTTAGATGATGCTTAGCACAGTGGTATTTAATGTACAGATTTTATTTTTATGGCACCCCCAAAAAACTGTCCAGAATTAAAGCAGCAGATAAGAGAAATTCAGAGAGCAAGAAACCCCCTTGCATGCCTTTTAAACAATACTTCCCTTCCCAGGCAGCAAGAGTAATTTTATCATACTTCTCAAAAGGAAAATTAAGCAAAGTCCCCAAGCCTCGCTGCAGCGGGGCACTCAAGATAAAACAAGGAAAATATTTCACTCGTAAGGAAACTATGCTCATCTTGTCACGTCTCTCTTCTCTGGAATCCAAAACAATAATTACAGCAATTTGTAGATAATTATTTGTTAATTAGAAACAGGCTTGCTGGATATAGTTACCAAGTTTCTCCACTGGCTGTGTGGGGCTGTACAAAGAGACCCTGGGGGATTGAAGATTTCATCCACTTGTTCATTTTGAAAGACGTCTGGTGGGTCATCTGCTCCCTCTGCGACTGCGTGCATCATGGTAGGATGGATTAATTATCCCTAGGTATCCCAGGTTGATGAATGCCCAGTTGTCCCTTTAATATTTCCAGTTAAGGTGATCTCACCATCTCCCACAGCAGCTTGTTTCACTGGGTAATCTAATGAACTGTGCAAATACAAGTTCATTTCTGCCCATCAGCATTTAAAGACTACTTATTACGGTGGCAGATCTAAGGGCCCAGTCTTGCAACAAGTAGTCCCATTAACTTGACTTCAATGGATCTACTCATGCTAAGTAGCCTGCCCACCAGGAAAGTTTTGCAGGATTAGTCCCTAAGTGCTATACAACAATTTAAGTCCTACATGTGATCAGGGTCCTACCATGACTATGTCACCTATCCATTCCACTCTACACTAGTTTTAACCTTGTATCAGAGGGATAGCCATGTTAGTCTGTATCCACAAAAACAACGAGGAATCCAGTGGCACCTTAAAGACTAACAGAATTATTAGGGCATATACTTTTTTGGGTAAGAAACCCACTTCTTCAGACGCATGGAGTGAAAATTACAGATACAGGCATAGATATACTGGCACATGAAGAGAAGGGAGTTACCTTACAAGTGGAGAACCAGTGGTGACAAGGCCACAGTTCAGTCAGGGTGGATATGGTCCACTCCCAATAACTGATGAGGAGGTGTCAATACCAAGAGAAGGAAAATTGCTTTTGTAGTGAGCCAGCCAC